ATGGTTCATGGGGTCACGAAGAGTCGGACACGACTTAACGACTAAACAACAACAAAAAATTGATATTATAATAAACACAGCTCAACTATCCTCTCTGCTTCTCCTATGAAGACCAACTTTTCTAGCTAGTTGGAAGGAAAGTGTATCTAAAAAGGTGCATTTATTGCAAAATTGGGATGGATTTGCAGCAATCATAAACTGAAATATGCCTGAAATGACAACTTAGGAGAACAGGCTACAGAGAAGCTCAACTGTGTTCTTCCACATTACCTGGGCCACATTTCACCCCTTTTTTTTAAAGCAATACTTTACCCCCATGCTGCACTAGAATGCTGCCTGAACAAGAGACTCACTGGCCACATTGACACCATACCCTTGACCTGATTACTGAGTCACCCATATTCTGGCCTTAACCAAGAGTGAACCTTTAAATAAACAGGCTGGCTTAGCACAATGCATTAAGCCACACACACCCAAATTATTCATGGTTTAAATTAAACAAGTTTAGCAAGCTCTGTGAATGCAGCTGTCAGGTCTTCAATTTAGTTAAATGCGTTGGAAGCAAAACCAGTTATCCAGGAAGATGTCTGACAGTCTCAAAGACAGTCTCAAAATGGCAAGCGCAACTTTTGTGAGGGTATGATTCCCCCCCTGCAGACTACAGATGCTTCTCGTTCAGGAAAATCCATCATTGCTGCAACAAGATGCAGAATGCTTCTCCATACCACAATATTCCTTGAGAGGGGCGCATCATATACAACCCATTCCTTGAGCTGGAATGTATCCTCCAAGCCTCTCTTGCCCCCCCCCCCCCACTATGGCCCACTGGTTGAGGTATATCAGTGTTCTGAACAATCCTGCCATTCCTTTCCCAGTGTTGCCTCTTCCAGGCGCAACTACAATGGCCACCACTCCTAGCTAGCAGGAACTTCTACAAACGGCAGAGGGCAGGAAGTCAGGGAAAGCTCTGCTGATTTGGTCAGGGTGGAGTCTCAGGGATGCAATGCTGCAATTCCATCTGGCTGTGCCCCCCCATCACCCCCCAGTCTAATTCTATGTTCCAAATGGTTACAGGAGATATAGAGATGCTGGTAGGGATAAATGAAAACAATGTCAGGTTTTGGTGCAACTGGGAAGGCCGGGAATGATTTGTATGTAGGTTCAAGACCCATCCAAAGGGCCTCGGTGCGCTTTTTGGGAGAGAAAAGATACGTCAACAGCCTGAATTGGTAAAAAAGAAAAAAAGCAGATTGATATGTTCCTATGGCCACATGCTCAGCTGCCTGCAGTGTTGAAAAAAATGCACTGCTCTCCCAGGATGCAGCTTGGAGAGTTAGTTGATCTGAAGCCACTTCCCTCTCTGCCTTTCCCACGCTAGGCAAAGGAGGAAGATCCTCTAAAATCCATGGCTGAAGCCTCTTTGAGTCACTGACAGTGGTGTGAATGAGACTGTTTTTAGGATGTAGAAGAGAAAGGAACATGGTGGGTGGGTCCACTGTTTGCAAGCAGCGCAGGTGAAGGTGGAACCTGCCCCACTTATAAAAACAGTTTTGGTAAGACAAATACTACTTACTATGCTGACGCCAATGCTGTAAGCTATTAGTACAAACAGGAGAGGGTAATTAATTGTTTTCTTGTACTTGAAACATTCATACCTGAAACAAACACAAATGCGAAGGATTAAGGAGGCACAAGGAAGACAAAATAAATTCTTAATGCCCAATTTGTTCTGAGGCTTTCAAACTGGGGCTTTTTGGGAGATTGGGAGCAACAAAATACTTCTTTGCAGTTTTAAATGCTCTGTGGAATGTAGGATCAAAATTATAAGGGATCCGTCTGTAAGCTCCTGCTGATGCTAAACCTTGTGGGAACTGGCTCAAATTCTGCTAGTTCTGTTGTTTTGCAGAAATGTTGATAATTTTCAAAGCTATGGCAAGATGGGAGCAAAACACTAGGTTATGCCTTTCCCAAATGAAGATGGTCTGAAATAGGAATAATGATTCATATGTGTACATTGATTCTGTTTTCATATTTGGCAAACCTGAGTTGCAGATCTGTGTGTTGTACAAACTTGCCAAATTTGTTTCAATAATCCATAGGACAAAACAATGAGAAGCATAACCTATTTTAGTCATTCTTAAAACAACCTATTTCCTCTCATAACAAAAGAACCACCTGTTTTTTCCCCCTTTTCTAAAATTAGGTCCACATAGAATATACCAAGAGGCAACATACATTAAGAACAAAATTGTTTTACATTACAAAAAGTGCTATCTTATGAGGAAATGCTCCCCTCATGTTAAGCAGTATAATATAAAAGGAGACCCTGATAGTTGTACATTTTAGAGCAGCTAAGATTTAAAAACAGTTGGAAAAACAAAAGTTCAAAAGCACATGATGGGCTTTGCATCTCCATTACACTGTCACAAGAGTACAGACTTTAACATCTTGATAAATTCAGTATCAAAGAAACTCATAATCAGTTTATGGCAGAAAAAAGTTGTTTCAACAGTTGTTTTAAGAAAAAAAAGATTGAGTTTCTTTGAGAATTACTGGAAAAATTTTAATGTCATATACAGATACTTGTTTTTCTCTCAGAGTTACTACTGTCTATCTAGCATCAGCATTTAATCCTCTAGGCACTTCTCTTTGCAGGAAAACTCAATCTCTGAAAGTACGAAGGCTAAAAATTATTATAGAAAACCAGGCAAATGAAAAAATGGTTTTGTGAGCAGAATCTGGATTCTTTGTTGGCACACAAGATACAGACATTTTCTGTAGTTTCCAAGAATCCCCACTGTCTTGCCTAAGACATTAACGTATTTCCAAAACATTGGATTTTTTTCCTTCTCCCATCAGAAACTAGCTAGCCAGTTTCCAATATATTTATTGGATTTACTGGATTTATATCCTGCTTCTCCTCTAGGAGCATAAGACAACTAACAAGGGAAGACCCCTTCACGTTGTCTCCATAACAAAAGTTGTAAGAGGGCTGTAAGAAAGGTTGGATTCAGAGAGACAGTAACTAGCCCAAAGTTAGCCAGTGAGTTTCTATTGCTGAAATCTCTTGTACAACATTTTGTAGAATCTGACGTTACCTCTCTTTCCCAAAATATAAACACCCCCCCCCACACACACAAATGAGAGGCATTACATTGCACTAATCAAAAGGGTGGCTGTTGTGAACGCTGCAGATTCAGTACTATACCTCTATGCAGCATTTCTCAACCTTGGCAACTTTATGATAGGTGGACTGCAACTCCCAGAATTCCCCAGCCAGGTATGCTGGCTGGGGAAGTTGAAGTCCACTTATCATAAAGTTGCCAAAGTTGAGAAATGCTGCTCCAATGGCTATTTCAGCACCCCTGTCTATGTGAGTGAGATCAGTTTTAAATCTGTGAGGAAGTGTTAATAACTTCAGTTTGGCAGATACTTACAGGCAGTAGACAAAAACGCAACAACTGTAGATCATGGGCAGCTCATCCAACAGCTGTAAAAAGCAGAACAAAATAATATTTCTACTTATAGAAAAGAGTCAAAGATTGATGGCAGCCCTGAGTCAAAATTCACCGAGTTCTTGATCAGGGCAGGGCAACTTTTAGTGACTAAGGGCAGCATTAACTTCTTCTGGACAGGGGGAGCTGAGAGCTGTAATGGAGAAGAAGAAAATGCAAAGGAGGTGGACCCAAAGCTTTCCATGTTTTAAATTTGGGAGGGGGGGAGGTGAGGGGATTAGTAGCTTCTTTTCCTTTAATTCTGTTAAGCTTTTTTACCACCACTGTTGGGTGCTTCCTTCCTCAGAATGGCGAGAAATTCTGCCACCAGTTTTTGGCAATCATATCAGAGATTTGGCCCTTGGCTGGAGGGAGCTTTGGATTGCATGCAGTGTTGGGACTACGGTGTGACCACTGTGGTCTAGATGAAGAGGCAACAACATCACAGCCATTTTGAGATACAGCCTCGTCATTCTCTCCTGGCAGTCTCTGTATGGTAAAAACATTGCTAGGCCTGACAAGAAGCACTGCTGCTCAATCATTAAGGGTAGTGGAAAATTAACCAAGGTCAGTCACCAGAATAAAGTAATATGTAACCTCCATCCTAGCCAGGTTTATTGGGCAATATGACATTGACTAGAGCAGTGTTTCTCAACCCTAGCAACTTTAAGATGTGTGGACTTCAACTCCCAGAATTCCCCAGCCAGCCATGCTGACTGGGGAATTCTGGGAGTTGAAGTTCACACTTCTTAAAGTTGCCAAGGTTGAGAAACACTAGACTAAACAGACCAAAGTTTAGTTCCACATGAGCAACACATTCACTGGATGACTGGCCACTCCCAGCCTTTCAGGCCAACCTCCCCCCATGTACACAACCATAAGCCACCAAATATATGCAATCAGTGTAGAAAGTGTCAGCATAGTTATAACAACTCAACAATATTTACCTGCGTTATTATCTCCATATTCTGGAGGTGTATGTATGTATCCAGGGATGCACAGAGGCTAAAAGAGTGCCTTTCCCAGACTATCTCATGAGTTCTTGGCAAAGCAGAGAATCAAACTGGAAATTTACTCATAGTTCATCTTCTTGGGATTCTTGTAGTGAGATTTATTTGTGGCTAATCCCAACTTTCAACAAAACTGTTTTGCACAATTATATGCAGGCAGATTTTTTACTAGATTAGTCAACCCTTTTGTATCATTTTCTGGACTTCTGGATAAAGCATTTTAACTATCTGCAGCAGTTGTTACTGGCATATTTGGTCACTAGGAGTCAAAAATGATTTGATGGCACATAATCAGTTCACAGTAAAACACACTGGGAATGCACACGCACCCTCCCCTGCCAACCTGGAAAACAAAACGGATTCAGGCATGTTGCTCGGTTATGTACATAAAAAGTTACATGCTACTAACCTGCATTTCATACTTCAGAGTCATGTGGAAGCACCATGAGCCCAGGCCCACAGCTGAAATCCAAATAAGAAAGTATTATGGGAGGAATTCAAACTAGAAGACAGTCAGAATTGTTTCCTTTCTCCCAGTCATGCTTTTGATTCATTAACACTTTTATATTGCACAAGAACAGACCATATTTGGGATCTGTGTTACAATGATCCTGTGTTACAATGATCCTTTTCAGTTCCACAACTTCATGTTCCTCGAAGACGGGCTAACAAGTTTCTAAACTGCCCACTCAGCTTCTCATTCCACCCCCCCACACCACTCACTCAATTAATCCTTTTATTTTGGTCTTTGCCCAGCCTAAGTGAGAAAGTATAAAAATGAATTGAGAAGACCTACGCTTACAAGAAGTACAATAACAGTTATAAAAATTAAAAAGTGCCAATATAAAACACAAAAACTATAAAATTACCATAACCCTATAAAACACTTACTGCAAAATTAAACCAGTACTGAATTTAAAAGATAGCAATCTACTATAAAACATATTATAATCGTGGAATAATGATAATAATCAACTCTACCATAGAGTAAGAAACTACACACTGGGACAAAAATATAGGCACAGGATATTATCAAGTCTGACTAGTGCTTACTTTGGTCAGATCCCACCAAAGTTTGTATGCTGTGGTACAGAACCTGGTGATCTTATAAATTATAAAGGATTCTGGGGGGTCTATCAGAAAGTAGTAGGTTGGTCAATGGGACCTGGAAGCCTGAAAAGTAGTGGGAGAGTAAAAGTGCTCTGAGTGTCTCTACTGTACAAAACAGGCAGTGAGGGTGGACATGTTTGAGTTTTAACTTGTTCACAAGGCCCCTGGTGTTCAGAGAAGGGGATCTTCTTACAGCTTCTTACTAGCACAGACTGAGGAAGAGCATTAGAGCAAGCCAGGGAAAAGACTGAGGAAAGGCTTCTAGCTTTGTATGATACGCTGATATTATTCTTTTTTTTAAAAGTATTACTTATTTTTCTTCCGCAGCCAGTAGTGGCCACCAGTGCACGCAAAAGCTCCAAGTATGAATGCTAAGACCTTGGCGGATGAATTGTAATTAGAAAGTTCAGAGATACTTTGCATCACTGTTTTTCAAGTATCTGGACAGACAGCAACCCTCAGAATGGCCTGAGCTCCTTAAAAAAGTTATCTGAGTTGCTGGCAATGGTGAGCTGCCTCAGGTGTCTGTCCTGGTTTCAACACTTCTGACACATCCTATTCATGAAACATTAGCTGGCCTACCAAATCCTCATCAGGCATCAACGCAGCTGTGTTTGTTGACACATCATGTTTGTGTATCCCAGTTTCTATCCCACTTTCTATATGGTACTGATTTCAAGAAACACATTAGGGCTCTAGTACTGAAACCAGTATTAACCAAGTTGTGTAAATAACCATTTATGAACCCAGAGGCTCCAAACTCTTGCAGTTAAGCGTAGGCACTGATGTATAAAGAGCGAGAAGAGGGATGTAATTAGGACCAAATCTTAATCAAGTCTGACTTTGTAACTGGCTGTTCTCCAATTCTGAAACTGCAGAATTGGCTAGGGATCCTTCTGTGAGGCCCTGATGGATTACTGTCTTACCCCCAGCAATCCAAATCTGCAAACAAGGCTGGAGCACCTTGATTGTACAAAAGAATCATGCCCGCTACAGCATAACCTGCTTTAGAGCCTCCTCTTCTTCAGAAGACTATCTGGAGCTTGCTGAGGGAGAGGTGCAGGTGGCTACAATTTTCAGCTCATCTGCAAATCTAAATAAATGTTATATATTATTGGCTCTCTTGAACATGGACCAGCTGGATTCTTCCTCACAGCATGCTGCTGAACAGAACTCATTTTAGCTCTCTTCTTTGAACAGAAGTTGATAGACTAATTAACTGTGTAATTAACTAAGGTAATTAAGTTACTCCTGTTTTAGAAAATAAGCTACTTCAGGGGATATGGCCGGAGTGTTAGCAGAGTCTGATATATGAGTGCTTGGGACTGTGAGATGGTGGTGAGAAGCTCTTTTAATTGTACAGTTGCAAGAAAAAGTATGTGAACCTTTTGGAATTTCATGGTGTTCTGCATTAATTTATCATAAAATGTGATCTGACCATCATCTAAGTCAACAGTATTGACAAATATAATGTGCCTAAAATAATAACCCAAAAACAATTCTGATCCTTCATGTCTTTATTGAGAACAACCATAAAAACCTCACAGTGCTAGTGGAAAAAGTATC